TGCCTCTAGTTGGAAATAAAATTATTTGAACTTTTCTGGAATGCTAGCCAAAACCATTGTTTATCTCCCTTGCATCTTTTCCTCTTCTCCCAAGTAATTTATGGTTCCATTTGGCTGAGGTTTTGGGTAAGAGAATTGTGATGCCTTTCTCTCGTATCACAGACCTCACCTGGCAGAAGGAAACAGCACATCTCAGTCTTGCTTCTTTCAAAGTCAGTGGGGCTTTTGCCATTAGCTTCAAGGGAAATACGATTAGTCCATTTTATTTTTAATGCAAAAGAGCAAATGAGTCACTTCTTGTATCCATACCTGATTGCTCTTGCCTAGGAGCCAGGAGGTCACCTTCTTTCCTCACTCTTCATCTCAAGGTAGCACTGTGCTTGCCTCTGCCAGTACACTCAACTCAGATTCAGTTCTGAGTCATTTGCAAACCCTAAACTCCCATTGTCTTCAAAGGACATTTGGATTACAAAGAACACTGAGTTAGGCAGAGAAGAAATTGAAAGGTATGAGGTTGCCACACCTATCAGAAGAGTTTGGCAAGACAGTGGTTGTTTGCCCTAAAGACAGCATGAGCAGTGGGGATGGGATAGATGTGCCCACAGCCTAGGGGTCTTTGGTTCTGGCTAGTATAAGACTGAGGAGAAACTGCTATATTGACAAGAAGCAAATTCAAAACACTTAAAATATTTCTCCTTTTTTATTTCAGACTTAGATTGTAAAGTGAGAGCTACAAGATATCACTGATACTACGATCGTTGTAATGTTCAGATAAATATTGGGCACTTTTATTGGATGTGGAGATATACAAGACTTCTTTAACAACAAATCATAGAATGTGAGAGATAATTAAGGGCTACAAACTCTCTTTCTCTTCAGAAAGAAGGACACTGTCTTAAGGATTGAGGAGTAGGAGCGATTTATTTTTCACAGTGATTCAATAGGTGATTCTGTATCTGTCCAAAGGCAGTTGAACCTTCTTTGAAAGGATCGGGTATTGGCCACTCTCCAGGACAGAACACTAAATGTACCTCTGGTCTCATCTAATAGGGAATGTTCTTCATTCCATAAAGGGTAATGGCAGCAAATTAATAGAAGATTCACTGAGGATAGCAGGCCTCTCATAGGAGGTGTCAGTCCTGGCAGAAGTCAGTTATTTTATTGCACTAGGCAAATCAGGCTGGATTCTCTCTGTGGTGCAGTAACAGCAGATTGGGGAGCATGCAAAGCAACATCAATACATAAAAATTAAACTACTTTTAATATACAAAGCTGAGTTTAGATAAATGCAGAACAGAGAAGCAAAGGTGCAATGTTCTCTGAAAGTGTGGCCTTTTAATGCTGTTTTGGAGACTAATTTACATACAAATAAAATGTCAGCTTATCCCATAATTGTCATGATAAATTGGAGCATTTAGACTTTTGCACAAGGTGCTCCTTTTGCACCTTATTAAATTACTGGATCTTGGCCTTTTGCCAACGGCTAGGGTGACGCTCTCTCTACTGAAATACATACAGGAGGGGGATGTGGACCTGGACACCTAGAGAAACCAAGTTCAGTCACTACCCAAGAGCTCTGCCTGCATGTCGCCTTGAACACCGTGAATTTTGCATCTCTCGTTACTGTAGATAATTTTATTTATCCATAAAATGGCAGTGATAATAATTTTCCTGTTTCACAAACTTTGTTGAGGTTTAATAGGTTGTCATGTTTACACAGTGCTTTTAGGTAGTTGATTAGAAGCCAGGGCAAAGTGAATCTTGCCTTGTTGGGCTCTCCTATCCTGGATGGATGGCAGTGGCGGGCAGGTAGGAGCAAGCTCTCTGCAACAGACCAGTAAGAAATGCAGAGCAGCAAACTGACATGCTCAGGAACCTTTACATAAAAGCAGTTTTAGAATTCTTTATTTTGGTTCCAAGATAGCATAAAATTCCACTCTATGTCACCTATGTCACCTCTTTAGACACGTTACCTTTTGCCTTTGGTTTCTCTTGAAAGTGTCTGTGTGATTATCCCAGGAGTGAGCTTAAAATGAAATAAGCACCTGGAAGTGGGCTAAAACAATCTATTTTGAAATGCCACTCCTAAACTCTCTGAAATGACCAAGTGTCTGTTTTATACCCATAGAAAAGGTTAGATTTATTCCAGTGGCTAGATGACTACCGATGTGTGCAATGCTCTGAAGCATAATAATAGAAAAGATCATTTTGAATTAATTCAATGTGAATTAATAAGAGATTTATCTGATGAGAGTTGTTTGAAGGTGATGGCGCTTTGTAGCTGAACAGGATTTAAGATGTCCAGAAGTGCATCTTTCGAGATTTGAGAACGATTGATGTTGGAAAAGTAAATGTAAATGGGAAGGAGCAAGCTTGAACAGACTGCAGTTCTTTTTACTTGTCTCTTTGTTGTAAACTTTGTGGGGAAAAAAATTGCAAACAGGTCTTGGCAAATTGGTGATCAGGGACTAAACTGAAGAGTTTGAAAATTCAGAAGAGTAAGAGAGGAGGTGAAAAACAATGTTTTGCTGTAATGCTGCTCTACTAGTATGACGTATAAGACTTGGTTTTCTCCTTACATTTTCTAGATCGATGAAGCTATCATAATTTCAGTGGAGCATGAAGACTGAAGAGTATCAAGTAGATGCATTCTGTACAAAATACAATGTCTGATCTTGCCAAATTTTACTGATACCAGGAGGCATGTTCTACCCTAGCAATTTCAGGCAGGAAAGAGTTGACATGCAGTTTTAGGGCTTTGTAGAAAAATGTGTATAGATTAAAAACTCCTTTGGAATTTGTCAGTTGCTTAGAGCTGTGACATCCCCTGTCTTGTATGGTGTATTTGAAGACACTGGTGCCAAAGCAGGGAGGATGTGGTCTTGTTGAAGGGGCAGTTGCTTGTCATTAAGCTTATTCTGCTCTCCTACAGTTTAGGGCCTGACTCTTCAGTTCCTTACATGAAAGAGGTTGTTCTTCCCTTCTCTTCTCAGCAGAAAAAGGTTTGGGCCGTGCGTTGGTTGTTTGCTGGCAGGCTTGTTCAGAGAACCACAAGCAAAACTGGGAGAGAAGCACTGTGTGTGACTGCCTCTCGCTGTGTGTCCCAGCCAGAGATGGTGGGGATGTGAAGCTGTGCGTCCCTCTTCTGTCATTTCACTGTGCAAGTGTCCACATGGAAAGGCAGAAAGGTAGAAGCTTTAGCCAGTCCTGTGCCACTGTGTCTGAGTCTGGGATAGTTTGCATCTAATGTAATCTAATTTTCAGCGAGGGCAGCAATTTCACCTGGAGTTTCCAGTGTATTTACAGGTTTTTTTTTTTTTTTTGAAAATGCTTAAATTAGAAAACATGTAGGTCTTTGAACTGTGGGCTGTACTAATGAGCTTGTTAACTTTCTGGCTGTGCTCGGCACAGGTCTGGGCCAGCCCGGCGGGCTGGGCTGTGGTGGAGGGCTGGGTGCCGGGTGGCTCCCCCAGGATGGAGCCTGCTGCCGAGATGCTTTCCCAGAAATTCAGTCTCTCAAGACAGGAGCTTTCTGGCTTTGGAGATCGTGTGCCTTAACGCTGCTTGATTGTTATATGGAGAGTGGAGAGAAGACTCCAGATTGGTTAGGACTTTATGTCCTTGATAGAAGCCGAAACTTTGAACACTTAAGGGTTTCTTATATAAAGCATGGCAGATAGTCTTTGTGGCCTATTTATGTGTAATATTTGTGGCCTATTTATGTGAGTTTTGTTTTGTGCTTTGTTTTTTTTTTTTTTTTTTTTTTTTTTAATTATTGTGTGAAAGAAGAAGAAGAAAAAAAAGGAGAGAAATTAAAACCACAGCAGTATTTTCCCATGCAGCTATAGCAAGTATCCTACAATCTCACATGATCGGCTGTCCTGCTGGGGTGGAGTGTGGGAAGGTGTCAAAATATGTCTCTCAATTTTATTTTTTTTTCTTAAAAGGGAAAGCCAGATGAATGCCAAAAGCCCTGCTCTCTTCTCTAGCCCTGCAGTAACAAACTACATGAGTGTATGTTATTAAGATGATAAGATTAAATTTCTAGCTACTAACGTGCTATCACAACAGCAAAGGGGGAAAAAATCTTGAAAAAATTATGAAAATTAGTCTGACAGTCTCCTTTTAATAATATGATCACTCCCAACCCCAACAGACAGTGTAGGCTGGAATTCTGTAGGGCTTTTTTGTGGTCCTAATGATTTTAATAATACTTTGTGCTATGTAGCACCTTTCATTAGAGGATCACAAAGTGCTTTACAGTCACTAATTAATTAAACCTCACAACACTCCTGTGAGATAGGTAAGTATTAGACATATATTAAGCTGAGACACTGAGAGTTAATGATTTTTTGCTGCATTATTCTGGCAAAATGATTGATGTTCAAGCGCTGTATGCGCTTTATATGTCTTTGTGTGGGTGTGTAATATATATGAGTGTAAAAGTATTAATTTTACTATCCCTTAACAAAGAGGTCCTACTTGAGCCTGTTGAATATAAATGCATATTTTCATTTAATTTTTTCTTACTGCAGCATATTGACTAATAATATCGCAATCTTCATAGACCCTTAACTCAGTTTACTCTTTGTCTGCTTGTGCATCTACTTGTACAAAGATTAGTCAGTGGCATCTCATAAAATTCAGACATATTTCTAGATGGACTATTTTGTTAAAAAGAGCATATGACTGAGATCTGACCTAAACCTGTAGCACAAGCACCAGTCAACAACCATTCTGTTGAAATAGGCTTTGATGACAAGCCATCCCATTCAGTAAAAGTAATGAGCAATAACAATGACCTGTTTCGGGAGCTGATGATCAGCAGGTAATTAGCCATTATCTTCACCACCCATAAGAAACTATTGATTACCAGAATTTGCTTTTTGTTTTTGTTTGGTTCGTTTATTTTTTTAAGGAAGTACATTAGTCACTATGGTAATCCATTATCCTGAATTACAAACTGATTTTAGTAGAATTTTCCACTAATTTGTTTCCAGGGATAAACTGATGTGATCGTTGAACAGAAATGTCTGGATCTTTCAGATGCGTGTGTCATGTAGAGTAGCCTTGGCTGTTTTTGAGGAAAAGTATGTATAGCTATTATTTCTACTTAAAAATAGCTGCAAGTGATTATATCAGCTAAAAAAACCCTATGTGGTTTAAAGGTAATTTCAGTGTAATGAAAATAAGATACAAACCCCTGGATTACGGAACCCAAAGACAAATTCTGCAATCTGGACCTTATCCAGGATTCCCTCAACTTGAGAAGTCCTTTCATTCATATCAGGCTTAGTAATTCTTTTATTTTGGGAAGATCACTATTTTCAGTGGTGAAAAGGTAGTGCAGTCCCAATGACTGTTCATCCCTTGGTTTCGTTACGAACACCCAACAAATGTGCTTATTATTACGATGGCATTTTTGAGATGTAGGAAGTTGCCTGCTAACAACGAAAGTAACACCACTAATTTTGTTTCAAGTGGGACATAAGGCAGCCAGCAGATGATAACTTCCAGTTGCTGATGGCAGTACCTGGATATGAATCAGTTAATTGTATGCCATTATCTATCCCATTAGGCCAGTCCCATTATGATGCCCAATACCTGTTAATATATGTGAATTTTTAAGACATTTCTTTTCTACAGCTCATTTTCAACAGTTACTTTAAACTTGTTTTAAACTTTGTATTTGGTGAACATTACCTCTGAGATATTTTTTGTCTGTCTTTATGTGTGTGCAAATGTGTGTCTGAGCAGAAGGCAGCTATGGGATTTCTCATGCTTGAGGGAAATAGAGGACAGCAGCCACTATTTGTATAGTGCCCACTAACAGATGCATGTGATTGTACAATAGGTATAATAATGTTTTAAGTAAAAAACATATTTTGAATGCATAATTTAGGAAGGAAAACCTTTTTTTTGTTTTGTTTTGCAGATATACAGATCAGCTCTCAAAATGTCTTCTGTGTCTTCCGTGCATCTTCTAAGACAGTTGCATTAGCCCGCCTGCTAGTTGACTAATAGAATTAATAATTGTAAAAAGCACTCTAAAGCCACATGCCTTATGAAGTCAATGCTGGGTATGATTTTACAAGTATGTGATCTATTTTTTCAAGTGAAATTGTTAACCGAAAACGTTCTTGGCACACAATAAAACATTGTGCAATCTGTTATTTGTCTTAGAGATAATAATTTCAGAGTGGCTATATTCTTTCTGTATCTAACTTATGACTTGCTAGGGGATGGTTTCTTTGATTTAGGAGTATTGCAAATGAAGTTTTATTTACATAATATGTCTCTGAAAAATGATAGTGGAGGAATTTGAGCGACAAAAAACCTCTGTGTCTTTTCTTACCGTCCCCTTGAGTGGATATCAAGCAAATAAATGACAGATGATTTTTCAAAAGCTAAAAGAAAAAAGAGGAGAAAATACTTTGAAATTCAACTTAAGGAAGTTTTTATATTTAAATCAATGTTATCGTCTTTCCTTTCTTTCTCCAAGTGTAGAATACTGCATGAAAAAGCTCTACTAGGCAGATATGTTTTTCTTTTTTCCCCTCCATTAACACACAGACTCACAAATATAGGGAAAATTTGAACCAAAGTATCTAGATCTACTGTACAGTTAGCCTGTATAGAGTCCAGATTTTTCTTTTCTTTATAGAGACTTTTTTCTGTCCTTTTTTCTGACTCTTTTTTGTCAGTTGCTATGAAGATAGCAAATCTCTAAGCTTTCCTTATCTGCCAAAAATATCTGTAACAAAAACATTTTAAAACATTGCATTTAGTCTTGTTTAATTTTGACTGAGGTAACAGTCATGATGTTTACTTTCTTGATTTCTGATTTTTCTTCACTTCGCAGTCAGGACTTCTTTCTCCGTCCTCTGCCATGGATTGTATTTAAACAGAAGTTAGTTTAAAAAAGGTTTGGGAGGTGTAACCAGAAGAAAAATACAGACTTAGCAGAACACCTACCAGAGATGCTCACAGATATTTTTAGTGTGTGTTAACCAAGAGCATTCATGGAGTCCCACAGAGAAGCAGTAATGCTAAAAGGCTGAGGACTATATTTATACCTTGAATTATATACGTGTGCATGTTGTTTTAGTAGGCTGAGTCTGTATTGTAATTGTTCTCTTACCACAATAGAAAATCTTTTTTTTTTCTTGGTTCTGAGTGACTTCATGATTCAGAAGTTACTGGGAAAAAAAAAAAGTAAAATTTAGTGCATACGTATCCTGGTAGGTGTGGTTGTCATTAAGAGAAGACACTTGGTTCCCAAGCATGGATGTCTTCTACAATAAGGAATCACAGTAGGCATTTAAGAAACCTATTAAGACCACACGGAGTGTCAAAATTTCTGTAACACGAACTGGCATTCTGCGTGAAAGCCGTCTTGCTGTAGCCCATGCTGCCTGTGGATGAGCTCAACCACAAAGACAACAGAGCCAGCCCAAGACACAAGTTGAACACTTCCCCTAAGAAGTCGTCTGTTTTTATCAACAGAGCATACAGTGCCCTTTCATGTGGAGCAGATGTAAATAAGAGGATGTACAGATGCCGGTTCTTTTATTTTTAACTTCTGTCCCCAGCCGTACTTCTCAAAGTACTGTTTTGAGAAGGTCATCCACAGCTTTCCAAGGTCTGGATACATCACCATTTGGAGCGCATCAGTGCTGCTCCCAGAGTCGTCAGGTGGTCCTCCCTTTGCAGAGCAATATATATCTCCAGTGCCTCCGTAGGGCCCGTCTGTGGCTGACCTGGGAATGGAGGCTCAGACTTGAGTCTGCAGCTCACATCTCATGTGTGGTACTGCAGACTGCTGCCACCAGACCACACACAATTTGGCAAAGAGAAATATCCATCGCTGTATACAGCATTGGCAAAGATTAAGAACATAGAAAAAGTTGTAGCACATCTGTCTTCTGCCCATAGCTAGCATGTGAACACAAATGGATCAAACCATCTGGTGCTGAATATCAAATCCAGAACCACACAGTAGAGAGAGCAGGGCCGTTTCATATATGTATTTTCTCTAAGTAGGCTGGAGAAGGTGAAGATATATAGCGGATGAGGAATTTTACTTAGTACCTGCATAATCTGATTGCTTGTCCTTCCATAATCTCCCCTGTTGAGTGAACAGCTAACTCACCGGTGGCAGACTCCTCTTTTCTCTCTGATCCTTATTACTATCCTGTCTCAGCTATCTTAAATGGATCCTGGAAGTGTACTTGCAGATTTAGCAGTAGTGACTATGTCTGCAGAGAAGACTGAGCAGAGGAAGGTTTGGCTGATTAGATCCATGTGGATTCCAGGTGTTTTCAAGGCAGATCCTGACTCAGCCACATAGTGATGTCAAATGTCTGGGTCCAGGCCTGTAAAATTTTATTGACAACGGGTTTTCCTAATAAAGTTAGTTTCTCTTTGTTTGGCAAATAGAACTAATTACATGAATAATGTACTGTGGGGCCTGACTCTAGAATATCCGTATAATCTTGTTTGAAGTTTATGGGCAGTAGGAGGGAAAACTTTTGCTATAGAGAAACTGATACCTGCTTAGGAAAAAACTTTCTCTGAAACCTCAAGTTACTTACTCTCCTAAATCTGTTTCTTTCCTAATAACTTGTTTAAATTCTTCTGATTATGTATTTTTGCAAAACTACTTTATATGTAGTTGTACAGAGTATGAATATTAGACTGCTAAAGTTTATTTTTCCCCTTAGTCTTTTTAAATTATTTAAAAAGAAGCATTAATTTAAAATTATTTCTGTCAGACCATTATCTTCTCAAAAGATAATGAAACCTGTAATTCACTGACTCTCATGGCAGTGTTTTTGTAGGTTTTAAAGTTCTCTTTTTAGTTAAATTCAGACTCAGTGCAATCATTTTTTAAATGAAAAATTTCCGTTTTTTGCATAGTCCAAAAACCTGTTTGACAAAAATTTTCTGAAAAGTTGGTGTATTCAATGTAGTCATATAGTTCAGAATGCTTTGAGAAGTGTCAAGTTTGTAATCTGCTATATATCTCGAATAATTCTATAGTTTTTTTTTCTTTTTTTTCCCTCCTTTTTTTTTTTTCTTTTTTGTTTCTTTTTCTGTGGTAGATATGGTCCGGAAAAAGAACCCCCCTCTAAGAAACGTTGCTAGTGAAGGTGAGGTACAGACCCTTGAGTCTACAGGTACTGAAAGTGAAGAGTCTGGAAGGAAAAAAGAATTTTCTGCAGAGCAGATGCAAGAAAACACTGACCAGGGTGATGCGGCAGAGTTAAATAACAAGGAGGAACTTTGCATGCATGTCCAAGAGCCATCTTCCAGCATTAAAAAGGACTTGAAAAGCTCAGTGCTGAGTGAAAAGGCTGGCTTCAATTATGAAAGCCACAATAAGGGAGGAAATGTTCCATCCTTCCCTCATGATGAGGTGACAGACAGAAATATGCTGGCTTTCTCATCTCCAGCTGTTGGGGGAATCTGTGAGCCCTTGAAGTCTCCTCAAAAATCAGATGCAGATGACACCCAAGATGTGGTCTGTACCCCATCAGGAGATGCAGCGGAGACAAATGAGGAGCATCAGATGTCGCCAAAAGCTTCAGATGAAACAGTGCAAGTGCAAAGTGGTCAAACTGATGGCCAAGGCTCAAGCCCGGTCCCCATGGCCTCAAAAAACCCACAAGTGCCTTCAGATGGGGGTTTAAGGCTGAACAAATCGAAAGCAGATTTGTTGGTAAATGATAACCCAGATACAGCGCCTCTGTCTCCAGAGCTTCAGGACTTCAAATGTAACATCTGTGGGTACGGTTATTATGGGAACGACCCCACAGATCTCATCAAACACTTCCGCAAGTACCACCTAGGACTGCATAACCGCACCAGGCAGGATGCTGAGCTTGACACTAAAATTTTGGCTCTCCACAACATGGTGCAATTCAGCCACTCCAAAGACTTCCAGAAAGTCAACCGCACTGTGCTTTCAGGGGTGCTGCAGGACATCAATTCCCAGAGGCCTGTCTTATTAAATGGGACTTACGATGTGCAGGTTTGTATTTTCCCAGCCTCCCTGCTTCTGCTAACTGCCTTCTCAGCTGCAAAGCCAGTTGTTTGCAAAGCCTCTCTTACCTACATGATTAATGCATCTCATATAACCTGCTTAAGCCTTAAGAAGGGTTTTGGTCAGTTTTAGCCAGGCTTGCTGCAGGTCTGCTGAGCATCTTGTACAGTAGAGGAGTATTTGGCTTTTTGACCAGTGACATTTCTGTGTACGATTTAGTCATTGTAATCAATAGCAAAAGATCTTATTCAGCAAACAGGCAAAATGCTGAATTGGTAATCATATCTGAAGGATTTGCTGTCACAGAAAGAAAAGAGCAAATAATAATGAAAAATAACAACCAGATAGACAAAAGACAGCAGCTGGAAATTAAAAATGTAATCCTAAATTATCAGCTGCTGGGAGTCAAGATTTGGCTTATTGATTCTTTATTAAGATAAAATAAATGGCAAGTCTTGGCAGCTCTGAAGTTGTCTAGTGCCAGAAAAACAGAATACACAATGGGTATTTAAAACATTTCAAAAGTAACAGTAATCCATGCTGTCCTTCACAGTAGTAAGCCTGTAAGAAAAGGATTATTGCCTCAGTAATTTTCTCATCTAGTTGAAGCAGGGAAAAAACTACAGATACTGCTGTAAAAAAAAAAAAAAAAAAGAAAAAAAATCTTCTTTTTACCATGAAAGAGTGGACTCAAAAACTTTTCTATGGAGTCTCTGTTAGTTTCTTATCAGCTAATACTTAATTAGTCAAAAAAAGAATCAATACTGCTTTAAAAAAAATCTTCAGAATGAACTGAGAGATGCAGTAGGATACTTCAGTATTTTATATGATAAAAAAATCCAGGTTTTAAAAACAAAAAGAAAGAAACAAAGTTTACATATAATATAAGCTCAAATGTCCATCTATTTTCAAATCACTGCAGGCATGCAAACCTTGTAGTAATCATCAGACAAAACTCCAGGATATGTTAAAATAAAAAGGTAGAAGGTTGAAAATTTTTAATAATGTTTGCAGAAACTGTAGCTATAGGAAAGAAATTTTGCAAGGCTAAGATGGCTAACATCTAACTTCAAGTAAGAAGCCAAAACCAGAAAACAAGTCAGGCACTTGAATCTTTTAAAATGATTTAAACTTTCCTCCTTTTTCAGAAACTCTACAACTTCTTTGTGGAGCAGCAAATCAAACTAAGGTCGTTACTAGTGTAAAAGATGCAGTCTTTGAACTGCTGTCTTATTAAAAGATTGCTTCACTGTCTCATGTCAGACACTCTCTCCCGTCAAACTGTGATTAGAAAGCAAATACGTGATGTAGTTAAAAGAGGTTAGAAGTGAATAATGTCAGATTGTGAAATGATGGTTTATAATTAGCACATAGTATGATGTTAATACCTGGATTTCCTGCTATAGTTTCAGTTTGCTGACTCCGGGGACAGCATCTTAGAGCAACTGATCCATGCTGTCAGGAAGACATTCAAACTGGAACAGCTCAGGCATACAGTATAGAGGAATTTAAGTTTCTAAACACACTTTCATTTCCTCCAAACAATTGTTTCGTTAGGTCCTTAGTTATTTATAGGAAAGTTATGCTAGATTAGAATGAGCTGGACACTTTTCCTATGCAGAGCTTTCAGAAATAAAACAGATGTGTGAGCTATCTCAGTTTGAACTGATAGAAGGAGAAATAAAACAGCTGAACCTAGACTATACTTGTCTACTAAACTCTGGCAGTAAGATACTGCAAGGGAGACAAAAAGCGGTAGGAAACAGCCCATAGATAATCTACTTCAGATCAGCCTTTTCTCAGATGAAAAACATTTTCCAAAATAGAAGAGACAGCCTATACAATGTTGGCTATTTATTTGAAATAAGAAAAAAAATGGATCTGGAAACTTAATTTTTAAGAGTGCTAATTTTCCCTACCCAATTTGGGAATAGAAGATTAAACAATCTTTTGCGGCAAATACCCTACTACATCACTTGCACATGCACCAGATGTTGATCCAGAACATGTCAGAAGATAAGTAACTGATTAATATTTTTATGCTTTCTCCTCCTGCACTCCCAATTGAGAGCAGCTTTGTGAGATTCATAAACACAGTAAAAGAACATTTGAAAATCCCCTTTGCACCCACACATGTTTATACTGCTTCTACATCCATTTTGGAGGGGATTTTTCTCAGGCATCTGGACGGCTAGTGTCTCCTGCCGCAACGAGGGATTGTATTGATTGGTGCTCTGGCTAAAATTGGTTCAGTGAAACTCCTGTGTAACATGGAGAGGGAACTGAACCTGAATAATTGGTTCATGTGAACAGTATTATTTTGTATAGGTACTGGGCTAAACAAAAATAATCCCTTTGTAATTAACTTGAAATAGTAATAGACTGGGTTTAGGGTCTGATTTATTGATTCCCTTGCACTTAACAAGCTGTTCTGTTGTAGCTGGGCTGGAAGTTATCAATAGATTTATGGTCTCAGTCCAGGGAGCTGGGTGCAGAAGCCAGGGGATGAAGATGATGAGTTTGATCTGGCTCACAGTGATAAGTTGGAGACCATGATATATGAAGATTTCTAGTAGTGAGTGATACTATTGAGCCCATAGTTTGCATTCATAACAAAGGCAAATGACAAGCAATAGGAATATGCTTGAGTGCAGGAAAAAACACTATCTCCTATCCTGTCTGCAGATATGTAGGGATGTGGTCCATTTACTGAGGGCTTGGAAGAAAGAAATCAAATGCATTTTTCGACTTCACAGAAGTGAAGTCGGTCCTAGAAAAATTAAACCCTACCCCAGCCAGAAAACACCCTCCCAACCCTAAACTCAGATTTTAGCAGGTATTGTAGTCAGCAAAACTAGAGATAGACATTTGGCTTCACATCCAGGTACGGAAATGTTGGGGCTGTGTTTTGTAGTACATAAAGAGGATTTGGCTGGGAACTGTGTAAATAGTCCAATTTTTCTGGTCTTACTTCTGTGTAGATTTCTACTTGGTTTGAAGGTTTAACCCAAACAGGTTTATTTGTCTTTTTTGAAAATGTTATTTTGAAAATCTCCTGTACTCTTTGTTCCCATTTCTTTCTTCAAAGGTTTTTGGTTCATTGAGTTATGATAAATTCCATAGGATTGGGTAAAATCACTGAGCAGTTTCTGGGAGATTAACTTTCTTGGCAGCATAGATTTCAGAAAACATTCACTATCACATCTCTGAATTCCCAGGGAATGTGTTAATCAGCTTTACAGCTTTTATTAGAATAATATTTGAAGTGAGTTCAATGGATTGGCTTTTGCTGATGCCCCTCATTACTTTTTCTTCACATTTAGTCAATTGATCAATCTCTATAGGCGGCATTGTCTTGCTGGATATTTGAGTCTGTGTAAGGCTTTGTGGATGTGCCTAAAGCAGTAGACTTTACTGGATCTAAAGACTTCACTTAAAGTAAAATCTATGTGACTAAGTTAACAACTATGATGCTGAAATCTATTGCCTTTGCTGCTATATGATTAAGTCTACCTCTGTGTTTGATCTAATGACTCTTTAATGCGTATGGAAAAGTCTGGAGACAGGCAAGCTGCTGGCAAGTAGACAGTAGGCAGTCTTTAACCCTCAAATTTTATGTCCTAAAATAAATTCACTAAAATATTTTTTAGTGAATGGGACACCTTCAGCAGAAAAGTTGGAGAGTGTTGTCTTCCACATAGCAGCTTATGGCTAATGGATAGGACATGCCCAGCAAGGGTGAAGAAGAAAGCTTGGATCCCCTCTGACAGAGCAAGGAAAGGAGCCTACTTTTCCTGTTTCCTGAACAAGTGTTCAAGTCATTAGGCTATTGTATAAAAGGGAGCGTGACCCCATTTCCTGATACATTTTAAAAGAGAACAGTGTCCTTCAAAGAAAGGACAGAAATGTCTGTGTTCAGGTGAGGGTTTCAGATGGCATGTCCCAAGGGAGAAGGGTATTCATGCAGCCATGAATAAAGACGTATTGCAGTGCTCAGCAGTTCTTATGGTTGCTTCATATTGTGTTTGCTACCTTTGAGAAGCTTCCTGCTCAGCATGGCCCTGGTTCTGGAGCTTATAGGCACAGATCTACCTCCTCTTATATTCAGCCATTAAAAAGATTCAGAATGTGCAAAAACATGATTTTTTTTTAAATCCAGTCTTCTCATTTGGATATTTTCATGGTTTTAAATCTAGACAGACATATAAGAAGAGAAATTTCTCAAAAAATATGGATTGATAAAAGCCATACTAAAGTTTCTTGATTATATTTCAGTGCACCTGGGGAGAAAAAAAAAAAAGAAAAAAATACTGCATTAGCTACTGCCCCACAGACTAATGAGAGGTTATTGGCAGGTTTTTTTTTGTTCTGTGGTTCTAGACATCCAATATTATAAGAGTTTTCCTATACCACTCAGCCCAATCCTTTTTCATATATGAATCATAGAATGATTTGCATTGAAAGAGGCCTTAAAGATCATCTAGTGCCAACCCCCGTGCTGTGGACAGGAATATCTTCCACTAGACCAGGTTGCTCAGAGCTCTATCCAGCCTTGCCTTGAACACTTCCAGGGATGGGGCAACCACACCTTCTCTGGGCAACCTGTTCCAGTGCCTCAACATGTTCCTAGTGAAGAATTTCTTCCTTATTTAAACCTACCCTCATTCAATTTGAAGCTCCCGCCCCTTGTCCTATCACTAGATGCCCACGTAAAAAGTTCCTCTCCAGCATTCTTGTGCCCATTGGGGCACAGGAATGCTGCTATAGGCATAGGAATGCTGCTATAAAGTCTCCTGGAAACCTTCCGCTGTTGAACAGCCCCAACTCTCTCAACTTGTCTTCAAGGGAGAGGTGCTCCAGCCCTCTGATCGGCTCTGTGGCCTCCTCTGGACTCACTCCAACAGGTCCATGTCCTTCTTATGCAGGGAGCCCCAGAGCTGGATGCAGTACTCCAGGTGGAGTCTCACGAGAATGGAGTAGAGAGGGAG